CCACTAATCTCTCATCCCCTTCACTCTTTCTCCATCCACTACCATATTTTTACTCTCTCCTCTCCCAACCTCACTCTCCTTGCTTCTTTTCCCTACTGCTCTCCTCTCCTTCCCCTTAATCTCTCATACCCTTCCCTCTTCACTCTTCTCCCACCATCTTTTTCTCTCCTCTCTCTCCACTCACCTTCTTTTACTAATCTCTTACTCTTTTCTTCACCTTTTCCATAGCTTTCTCTCTCATTCTYTYASCCTCCTCTCCTCCTTTCTTCCCCCAACTACAACCCCATCATCTCCCTCACCTACCACTTCAATCTTTTCTCTTTCCCACCTATTTTTCTCTTTTTTTTTATCATTTTTTCATCCCCTCCCACCCCACTTCGATTTTTTTTTTTCTTTTTTCTTTTCTCTTTCTTTTTTATTTAAATTTTCTCTTTTCCTCCAAAAATATGAATCATCTTATTCCCTACCTCTTGTCTTATTTTCTGATTTATTATTTATTTATTTTATTTATTCTGAAAATTCGAAATTTTCTGCGGCACCCTAAAATCTGATTAGGACTTAGCCATTCTTGCTTTCGGTACACATTTTGACCCCATGGTGGTAATGAAGTGCTGCCGAAATTTTCTGTTTTCTTCATACTTAGTCTTTTTCAGCACATTTTGACCCCTTGGGGGTAGCGAAGTGCTGGCATAATCTTCTTATTTTTCTTTCTTCTTCACGGCTTTTTCAATACATTTTTACCCCTTGGAGGTAGCGAAGTGCTGGCATAATCTTCTTATTTTTCTTTCTTCTTCACGGCTTTTTTTTAGCACATTTTGACCCCTTGGAGGTAGCGAAGTGCTGGCATAATCTTCTTATTTTTCTTTCTTCTTCACGACACACTTCGACCCCATGGGGGCAACGAAATGCTGCCGAAATTTTTAAAAAATTCCAAAACTTAGCTTCTCTTCACTCTCCTCCACCTCCTTATTTATTTATTTATTTACTTATTTATTTTTTTAAAAATTTTAATTTGCGGCATTTTGAAAGTTAGTGTGTTCCTCTTGCACTTTCCTTCTTCTTGGCACCATTTTGACCCCATGCGGGGTGGGAAAATGTTGCCGAAAATTCCAAAAAAATAAATATTATCTCTTTCCTCACTCTTTACATTTTATTTATTTATTTATTTTTATTTGTTCTTTTATTTTATTTTTATCTCAAAATTTATTGTTTATTCTATTTTCTTTCCCCCGCCCCTCTTCCATATTATCTTTTTCTTGATTAGGTCGCCGCTACCCTCCCCTAACCACTTAAACTCCGGTTAGGGTTTTCTTAGGGTTTTTCTAGGGTTTAGGGTTCTTCTAAACCCCCTACTCTCCTGCCTCCTCCCGTCRGGCACCCTGGACCCGAACGGCTCCTCCCCCCTCGAGMGATTTKGCGCGTTCTTCTCACGCGCGACCCGCCAAATCCGGGGTGAGCCGACTCGCACATACTCACTCCGCTCCCGCGGTCCCCTTCCTCTTATCGGCGGACCCCTCTCCCCACACACCCCCGTGAGCTCTACCTCCCTTTCCCTTCCGACCATGGAAGGGAGTTCCTTTGAGGAGATCACCGCGGCRYYGTCCACCTCCCAGGTGAGCGTTCAGCCAGCGGGTCAGGGTCAGGCCCATGCGGACACGATGGACCTTCATGCCACCCTCGTAGCGATTCAGGCGCAACTTTGTACGCTTGGACCATTGCAAGTGCAAATCAATGCGCTTGCCCTTGACGTGAACCGCCTCAAGGGCTCTCCTCATCATTCTCCCGACCTCTCCCATACCCCATCCCCTACCGGCTCCGAGTACGGCTCCCCACGACTCCAGAGTCGGAGACATCGTGGTTCCCCCTCCTCTACGGGCCAGGCCTAACACTCCCCCACAACAGTGGCGAGTGCTACTGCCGCTCAGACCACCCCGTCTGTTGCGGCACTTCTCCCGGCCACGGCCGCCCCTACCGTCTCTACTACTGCCGTAGGTGCTGCGGTCCAGGTACCGCCTCGAGGCCCAGCAGTTTCATCGACCCACACCGGTGTTGCTTCCCAGCTTCCCGCACCGGTCACGGCAATACGGCTCCGCCCTCTTCTTCCCGCCTTTGTCCCCCCACCCCCACAGCAGGGTGTACCGCCCAGGCTGGGATTCCTCCTCCCACTGGGAGACCCACTCCGCCCCCTCCACCTCCGACCCCGCGCACCCAGCGCGTGGCCACTTTACAGGCCACCATTGCGCAGGCTCAGGCGGAGATTCTCGCTCTGAGACAGCCTCACCCATCACAGGCTGCCCACCCTTCTTCCTCTACCATCCCTTCGGTCCCCATGATGTATGCTCGTTTCCCTCGACCTGCTCCTCAGCCTCTTCCCTCCTACCTGGCTATTCCAGGACAGCTGCCCGCGGCCGTTGCCTCCTCGTCTGCTGGTCCATCCACTAGCGGCCACGGCCGATAGCCTTCCCCCACCTCTGCCCCTGCAGCGACCTCGACTTACGCTGCCACAGTACACTCGCCTCGATCTCTCTCCCCCCCGCCATCAGTACAGTGGACATCCTCCTGTGCGCACCAGGGACATTCCCGAGTATGATGGCACAACCCGTGTCTCTTGCTGCTTGCAGATAGCAACGTGCACGCTCTCTATGACGACCACCCGTCAGGAGTTGTGGTGCGATGTGCTCGCAACCAAATTGCGAGGTAGCCCTTCCACTGCGTGGGAGGATCATTATACCCAGCGCCTTCGCGTGGGTGAGGTCCCCACTCTGGCCGACTTCGCGGCCTTCCTTCAGGACCGTTTCGGCACTCGTCATGACGCCACCGACGCCTTAGACCGCGTTACCCAGACCAGATGATCCGGGTCCTCTGTACCGGCCGACCTGGAACGTCACATCCGGGTGTTTCAGGACGCTCGCATTGTTTGTGATGAGACGTTCCTACCGGAGGTCACACTCACCGACCGGTTCCTTGTCAGCCTGCCGACTGACTATCGCCTAGAGCTATGGAGGCGATCATTCTCTTCCACGGAGTAGGCATACGAGGTTGCGCGTCAGTACCAGAGGATGTGCAGTCGCTTTTCCGTCGCCCCATCCTCTTCGCGGCCAGCCGCCACCTCGTTTTCGTCGCCCGACCCGCCCTGGAGCGTCATTCTCTCAGCGCTACAGTTCTCTGGAGTACGGCGAGGACGCCTCGGCCGAGTTTGACCCTACCCTTGGAAACGCCCCCGAGGACATCGAGCTACGAGACGTCATCCAGTATCACTTGGATGACGACACTGTTCCGGTGGCCGAGCGCTTGCTGATGGCCATGTCTGCTATGGGTCGTGCTCGTAGTCGGGTTGCACAGGCTGGCGCCCGCACACCCACGGTTCCTCAGATAGACCTCCCGCAGGGTTATGTTCCTCCTCGCGGAGCTCTATCCCCTAAGGAGCGTGCCGCCCTCGAGGCCCGGCGCGGCTGCCTTCGTTGCCGCCTAGATGGACACAACTCCTCAGAGTGTCCATACCATACCGCCCTCGATCGGCACTACGCTGACATCTCTCGTCAGCGTCGATCTCAGTCCCCCCCCGGCCCCGCCCGGCCAGCCCCATCCACCTAGCCACGGTGCACTGTGCCCCTGAGGCCTCGCACGTAGCCAGCTTTCCGACCACC